TTCGGTCAAGCGTATGAGTCCGCTATCGTTGCGCACGAAGAATTTCTGGCAGTATGTGATGTATGGAAGAGTGTGTCTTTTACAAGGCGGGAGCCAAGGCGCTGCGTTTGTTGTTGGAAGTGCAGCAATAGAGCTCGAAACAAACTCCATTTCGGAGATGGTGAAGCCATTGTTAAGCAGTGCAGCTAGGTGTCGGGGCATGGTGCGCCCGTCTTTGCAATATGCAGTTATACAAGTATGAAATTATTTAATATAGATGAATGGGAAGGTAATATGATGAAAATAATAAATTTTCTAACATCATAAAGCTGGCTCTAGCCTTACATTTACATACATATAGAAAGACTGTTGGCAATCTGCAAATCACTTAAAAAAGAATGTTGATTTATATTAATAGGATAGTAGACGCAAACAGTAATGTGATTAAGAAAAAAATATTAAATTGCATAGTACATATTTAGTTGACTATAGTCACCTCTAAGCGCTTTATTTATAAAAGCGTGCATATGTCGATAGCAACTCTGATAGTCCTGATATTTGAATGTTCGATATATTGTACGCATTTTAATCAGTGCCTGAATATACGTACGTTTTTTCCCAGCTGTAATGAAATGCTTTCAATTTGCATACGGCAATTATATAACCACTTGCAGCGATAATGGTTATTACATACAGTGTGGTGCCCGAAACTGCTGTGGACGCTTCACTAGTTTGACTACCCCTTCTCGACTTTTGTTTCTATTGAGCTGAGCACTGATGGCCGTAAGGACCGGATATTTTACTTCGGTATTGCAAAGTGCAATAGCATCATCACTGTTAACTGCCTAGATCATGGCCTTACCATAAACAACTGACTTGATTAATTCCACCCTTTTGAAGAAATAATGGTAAATATCGAGCATTAAATAAGAAAAATATCAACCATGTGCTTTTCACGTGTACTGTTGACCAAATCTATTGCTCAAAACTAAACTTACATTCAAGTACTCAACAGAATCTAGTAGTTCTATGCCCCTTGTGGCGTTAATGCTACCTTATGTTTAATACCTTCCTCGTTATCATAACAGACCAATTGATTTTCTCCGTAAGCATACGGAACTTTTCCTTCATGCACTAGTTCAATGCTTATTTGTCTGTAGAAACGCGCATATCTGGAAAAGTATAGGCAAAAAAAGACAGTCATATTGCTAACATGCCTTCTGCCGTAAATTCGGTCCAGGTTTATTCATCGATCAATATCTGCAAGGTCCTGTGCCCCCTAAAGACTCCCACAGGTTTGTAATCTTCTAAGCAATAATTGCAGTTAACAGAATGAGAACAACTTTGTGATATCCAGTCTGTATTTTAAAATACATGATTTACTAAAGGTTTGTGTTTTACTTAGTTCTAAAACGAAGAATCTGCTTTTCAACTATTCTAGCTCTGTTTCAACTTTGTGTTATCATTAAGACTCGTCGTATGATGACACGTGGAAAGGACACGCAAGCCAAAAGAAGCCTGGATTTAGTTTTATGCTTATTGCCGCTTAGTTTCCATGTGGTTAAGATGTATACTACGGCCCATGATACAGAGCTTCATAGGCGTACTGAAGTGTGCGTTTTCTCACGAATTAGCGCAGACCTACCTCGACATAGAAAAGCGTGCCTTCAGTCTGGGAGATAAGACCTCTTTCTGCAGGTTCTTATGCTGCACCTCCGATGTATATTTTATTGGTATCAACAAGAGTAAATGACCTTCCATAAAAAGCAAAACATAAGATATGCTTCGAGCGAGGCGCTCCTCGGGCTTCCCACGCGGCTAGAGTACCGGCCTTCTGTTGACGGAGCCACAGATAACTAGAGAAAGTTGATATATAACTTATAGTGATATATTATTTCGCGAATGCAGTGCCTACGAACACATTTGATTTGTGTGATGAGCCGTATGTTTCATATAGTTGTCCTGCTGGTCTTACAAATGGTCTGTTCCATGTGCATCAGTTCGCACTAGACTTCACTTGTGTAAGTTTACAACCGCTGCGATTCAGCGCTTCGCTGCTGAATCAAAGGAACTAAATTATACGGATGATACTTAATGGGTGTTAATAAAGTAAGAGATAAAACATAGAACGTAATCTTCAAACGATATCTCAAACGGGTTTGCGCTGTGCATACATGCCACATTTAACGAGACCGAAATGGCGGATCAGTTTTCCTTTTGTGAAGCAAGACATGACTGTCAACCGTTGGTTCCAGGGCCCGCCAAGATCATCACGGGAATATAATTCAAATCTATAATATAGACAGCCCACTTAGATATACAGTTAGTGAGCAGCTTATATACATATATATATATATATATATATATATATATATATATATATATGTAAGAAACGCAATTTGGGTAGTAAATACTTTGGTCTTCATCAAGAAACTTCTAAGTGAAAACTGGCTGAACCTACTACAAGAGAAATAAATTCACAAGAAAAAAACATCCTCTAATTTCAAGAGTCAACGCTCAGTGATCAAGCTTTTGGTCCTCGAAAGCCACAGCGCTGCCGCAATTCACCGAAGATTAGTAAATACATTGGCTTAGTTGGCCTTAAATAAAAGGTTTCACGAAGGGAGTTGGAGTGTAAAGGCCAGCGGGGAGGTGAACAGATATCAGAATCCGAAGGACAAAAAAGTATTAACGCAATTGAGGAGGTTTTTTCACGGAAGCCAAGCCTGGATTTTATAGTCTCTGTTAGCCAAACTGGCATTTTACATATAGCGTAGTACCGAATTATAACTCAACTACCGAAAATGTGAAAACTGAGTTGACGTCATGCCGGTTACAAATATGTGTCATATATCCCACGTACAATTCACGGAACTTTGATCAACACAAAAACACGCCGGGGGCATATAGTCGCCATAGGCGAGGCATAGTTCCGTTTCTACAGGTATAAGGCGACGATAGTGCTTGCAATGGAAATTAAAACCAAACCTTCACATATAGTGTAACGCAACGTTTGCATTCTAAAAAACGATTGCTGAGCTGATGATCATTACTTTGGTGTTTCGTCAAAGAATTATTAAAATATGAATGAACAAATCTATAATCATGACTATCAATCAGACGACCTTGGAACGTAGTTGCACACTATTTTTCAGGCCCATTTTATGATTTAGCGATTCTTATTTCAAAATTGATAAGTTGATTTGACACGACCATGACAACATACTATACTTCTACAGTGTTATTTAACCTTTCATTTGTTGCCGACATCGTCCGGATACTCCCAGTCAAGATCGACCCCAACGCAGCCAAATTTTTGAATTACAGCGGCAACAGATGTGGCAAATATCCTACGTCCGATAGGCGAAGAAGCCATTTTTGAATATCGTTCAGATCCTTTGTTCCAACTAATTGCAAATGAGACTTTCAAATCGCACCTGACTTCTTTACGGGCAACAAATTTGGCCTTTCCCTCCGGAAATTCCTCAGTGATAACGGTGACGTAGATGGCTGTATACCTGTCTGTTTACTGGTGCAGGCTTATAATGCTGATGGTAGGGTGAAGTTGAACCGTAAATGAATAGATTGAAGGTGCACTATAAGCAAACGATAAATATCTGGTTTGCCTTTAGTGCAATAGACCTATAATAAAATCATCCGTTCTTTTTAGGAAACAAGCAAACTAAATACTTCTGTCAAAAAAGGCCCCCATTAGGTCAGTTTTATACGACATGGCTAAGGTATATATCCAGGTAACCCTAATTAGGTACCATAGGCTTCCTAAAGTGTAAAGAAAAACCGATCAACCAGCTTATTATGGTCTTAGTAAGTGTTAATGCTTGTACGCCCTTACCGCGGTCGATATCCCGCGATGGATCTAGATACATCACCGTATTCGTCGATTCATCAAGTCCCAGAAATATGTAGATAACGTGAGTACATTTATCTACTGAGAGGGCCAATACGTTTCCTGTATACGAAGCTGTATGGTATCTAAATAAAAAAGAGAACCAATCGTTCGGCAGATCAGTGTGAAGTCACTGGATCACATCGCTTGTAAACAACAAGGCTTATTTAAATATCTACCATTTAACGTTAGGCATAACCTAGCCACAGGTGTTTGGCTTGAAAATACGCCCTTGAACAAGGAATCACGGCCTGATACGTTGATATAGTACTAAGGCAAAAAAAATAAAACTTATAAGCAGAGTCTGGATTATTATTATCTATTGGATGCTGACCGTGCAAGGTGTTATCGTACAATTACATTTATTGTGAAATAAAGGGTGAGACTGCCGGTTCAAGCCTTGCACGCGACAGGCACAATCCTACTTTACATTCTGTAATTCTAATCTAATGTACCGTTTTGTATCATTATCCGACAGCTACATTCAGTTTTTATTGCTCAAATGAACAGCCCAGTGAACCTGTAGCTTACTGACAGGCGTCAGGCGTTTACCATGTTAACACAGAGAACAAGATGTTTTTGGATCCTCAAACTATTTATTTGAAATTAGGCCAACTGTCACTGTTTATATCGGAAGTGAAAACAGTGGATAACAATAAAGAAGGACAACAGTTCTGGTACCGTCATACAGTTTATGGCGTTTGAGTTCATCATACCTATCAGGAACTTCCGTATTTTTCACAACACGTGTTTCACCATTTGCCCTACAATTGTTTAACAAAGAACTTCACATCAAATTAAAACTGTTAAGAAGCAGCGTAATCACCGAAGACACCTCGGCCTACCGATGCGCTTGAATTTAACATCAGACGCAGCCTTTGCGGTTTCACAGTCTGCGACAGATACAAAATGCTTCGTAGTAAGCGTTCATCAAAGAGAAGTTGTAGGACCACTGACCATGTAACGTTTTCAATAGAAGAAGAACACATGCGCCAGTATATCTAGGAAATCATTGTTTAATCCCTAAAGTGCACAAATCTGCACTCCGTCCCCCGCGGCACACACAAATCTGAACTACCACTAATAGTCAATCATCTGTCCAATCGGAAAACGACGCCACTGTCAATACTGTATTAGCAGCCAAATATGTGTTATCTCTGAGGTACTTCGATTACGGACAACGACGAAGTACGATCCGAAACCACGATCATAGTAATTATTGTCGTAGTGGTTATCGTCAGTGGCCTCCCATCAGTAGACCTATACTATTTTAAGCTTTGAAAAACAAGACCAGATACACACATTTAGGCTTAACTATAGCACGTTGATAAGCTCAAGCATGCCGTATTGTCAAGGCATCATCGGACGCATCGGAGGGTTGGCATTCGATTTTTCCAGTGATAAGAACAAAGGCCATTGGTGTTCCAATGCAAAATCGGACGAAACTGATTCACCCAGCGAACCAGATCATCAGGATGATCAAAGCACACGGCTGTTAGTTGCTCAGGAAAATGGCGTTGTCAAATGGTAAGTTGAAACGATGCAAATTCAAACTGGGTGGTAATTAGGGTGTAGAAATGAATCTATAGCTCATTGTAAAAGGCTAGGATTATTGATGCCTATGTGCCTTTTATATGCTGTGCTAATCAAGATAGCTCGTACTCAAAGGATCATGCCAAATGATTCTAGAAAAGAGCATGTTCTTCCACATAAGCGGAAATTCCTAAACAATCCTTTTCGAAATGGGTTCATAACTAGAGTTCAATGGCCTCTTCAAAGATTGAAAGTGCATTAGCCTAACACTGTCGCGTTCATCTCTTTTCAGAAGCAAAACTTTTTTCTCTAAGTTACTCACTAAGCACAGCCATAATACAATTCAAGGTTTTACAGAAGGCACTACGTTAAATATTAGTTACGTCTGCCTATTTCTTCGGTACTTCGACTTATTTTATTTATACTATCAATTTTATTTACATATTTTATACTATCAATTTTATTTACATTAAACAACTAGTACAGACGGCGCGCGCAGGCCGAGTCTTTAGGTGAAATCATTCTGGCAGCATTTGCGTATAAAGCTAAATTTAGCATTTCAATACTCAACATTCGACAATAAAAGCTCACTCTAATAAATCCGGTTTGTCGTGTCATGATTTCATGTAAAATAGTGTAAGAGGTATCCTGGCGAGAACTGTGCTACCGATATGATTCACGAATTTTAATGAAACTACGATTACATTTTTGAGCTTATCTTTGAAAATCCATTTTTAGGGTTCGTATTTATAACCAGTTCATTGTGGCTACTTCGCGGATTGCGTACTAACTACATGCATCACAGTCAAGCAAAAAATCATATGATATGCCTCACAAATACCTGTTTATAAACCCATAACCAAAACGATAAATGTCGCACACGTAAAGCCTTAAACTGACCTTTGGCTTCTCAGACGTTTCCTTGTCTAAGCAAAGATCGCATCACTAGATGTTGTGGGGTAACTGGCACGCAACAATGCACTCTTCTGCGGAGTTTTCCCTAACGAAGTTACGTTCATGTAAAGTTTTGGATATTTCAGTTGGTAGTCGTACATGACATTTTGCAAAACTAGTGCAATGGCAAAATAGAAAGTGCTAAAGTTCAGACGAACTGGCACACTGAAAACAACGCACCATCGTCATAAACTTATCTCATGAACAACAAGCGTCACAATAACGGAAAATCAAAGAGCCATATCTACACATTAAACTCAGCTTTACAACTAAATTGCGTCTGAATCGATCTCGATCTCCCTAAAGGTATGATCCGCATCGTGGATACGGCTTCCTTGTGCGACCGGACGGTTCCGAGCTTTTTGTTCATCGTCAACGTGTGGTTATGGCAGCTGGGGAAGCACCGCTACTCAGAGCGCGAACTCAGCTATCTTTCGACGTGTGGAGGAGCCCACATGGACGACTGGAGGCCCAGAACGTCCGCACAACATGGGGTCGACCGATTTCTAATCGAGTTTCGGGCAAGCGATACTCTCTAATCCGTAGGGAATTTCACGAATCACATGACCTCACGGGACACGATCAGATGCCTTCCATCGGCAACACGCCGATTCGCAAATCTGAATTTGACAATTTGCGAACTGGTAGTTTCTGCACAGATATTTTTATTCTACGAAGCACTGTTTTTCAGTTTACGTTCCTTAACCAATCTCTACGAATACAATTTAGTAAAACGGAGTTCATATGACTGAAAAAATTTCTGAAATACTAACCATAGTCTAAATTATTCTGTAAAGCTATTTTTAGTTTTATTTTTATGTAAGTACATGAATTATGTATTTGAAAAACTGAAGAAGAACCCACAAGTTTTGCCTGAAAATTCACCAGCAGTCAGAATTTAACAGAAGAGTTTTTAAAACTCAGTCTTTTGCAGACTTTAACCTCTCTCTCGAAATGCATCTGAACACGTACCTAAACAACAATTAAACTGGAAATAACCACTGAAAACTAATGTTTTCAGTTATCGAGTGTTGTCCTATAGGGTTGAGCGGCTGACTAGAATCAGTTTGTAGAATAATATGTAGAATAATATATGGAACAATGCTGTAGTAGGATGTTATCATTTAATTTCGTTCTTTTAGATTACTGCCCGCCCCTGCAGATGGCAGCACGATCTCGGTGTTCGTCGCGAAAAATAAAAGAACCTCGAAGGCATTGCACTGACGGTAAATCCTGACCGATAGCGTTAAGTACAGTCTCGGAGTTACCCAGAAATCTGGACTCGTTGTTCACTTTTATTTTGGGATCGAGAGCGTTCTCTAACTGGATTCGTTAGGCGCTGTTACCGAAGAAACCTAAAACTGGATGCGACGTTCGCATTTGTAGCGGTCAGATGGGCTGACTATCACTCACCATTGATTCCTCAATGGTAGGGGCCCCTTTACGGTGTCATGGCCGAGGCTGGCCTAAGCTGGAATGTCGCCCACGCTTCATCGAAAAACTATCTGTTTAACGTAAGATTAACGAAAATATTAATAAAGACGAAATAACGAAATAGAATAATCAATTGTATAACAATTTGCGGAGCTTTCTAATACTACGTAATGCTATCTAATATAATGAAAATTAAGGCAAACCCCATGTAAGGTGTGCGTGTCCTAGAAATGAATAAAATCGAAAAAGTAATAAGACGTTTCTGACTAGCTTATCCTTTTATAACGAAAGTTACAGTAAAAGACCAAGTGAAAACTGCTAAAAGTTTCAGAATGGCGGCGTCAAATCAAAAAACTTAAAAAAGAATAGCCCTTGCGAGGGAATAATGGTAGCTGCAAAACGTGTGTGCAGACAAAAGGGTATTCGAAACGATGTAAAGATATTTACTCAAACATCTGCACATCACAATTTTTTATTAGCAACAACACGGATGTGTTGTTGTTTTTTCCATTGTAGTATCAGGTGACAAAACATTACACGTCGAAATATTTTTTACACTGCCATAAGTAAGCCACTTCACTGCAAGAAAATGTCTGCCAAAAATTACACACATGCTACGGTATTACGAAAGGGAACAATAGATTTTCACTATAGCCATTGAAAAAGCATGAATAGCACATATGAAACACGCATTTGCGTTTGAAAATATATATGAAATACATTTATTCACACACTATACGATTTATGGCAATGTCGTACTGATATATCGTGAAATGTGTTCCCCGTTCGTCAACATTACACACACGGTCTATAGTTAACATCCAATTACAAGGCATTTGGGGTCGAGAGGACACGTGTGGAAGGTATGGAGGAAAAGTAATGAGAACTAATTTGCGTCTAAAGCCACCTATTTAAGCAATGACCACTTCAGTTGCTCTTTAGCACTTTGGAACAACTGCGAAACGTTCTGCTCCTCGTCGCTGCCCTTCACCGCCAAACGACTAAACACAGCGTTGGCGTCTGTTTCCAGAATGACCTACAAGACAGAGAAAGCAAAACAAAATTGGCATCAATTTCACTAGTCTATATTACCCACCACGCACAACAGCTGTTACGAATAATGAAATTATTACATAAAATAAGGGAAGTAGGAATCCCAACTCAGCTGAATAATCAAACGAAATTCAACTTCCAGTTGGCCAGTGTCCACTTACTTTCATTTTATTGTCCTATGATGGTTAGTCTATTTTACCATATAATACTTGATCATTTGTTTCATTAGCGGAAATTGAAGCATGGCAAACAAGCAGATCCATTCTGTCTGGAACCTTTCTTTCGGGGTTAGAAAACCTGCACGCACATTGTGAACAGAATACGAAGTTCTCGCTGCCTCAAAAAATTCTGTGCCTAATGCATTAATTTTAAATCTAATCTGATTCTTTACATCGTATCGTTAAAAAATACAATTAAAAATACCTTTCCATGGACTACTTATTGATATTTCCTCTGATTGCTATTCATTGCTATTACTGTATTGAAAAAAAGTATTTTAGTAACTCTGTAGCAAAGAGATGCGACAGGAACGTTTAGGAAAAACGACTTTTTTATGTAAACGTGCCAATTAGAGGAACAAAAGACCTTCAAAATCTGTTTACCCCATTATCGCAGATCTCGTCGAGTACAAGAAGAACTGCATCGAGCTGATCGATGAGCGCCCGCTTCTCAACACTCTTCCGGAATAGTAAAGAAAGTGTTTCGTATAAACAGTTGAGTGTTGCAGAGAAAAACAGTGGATTTTGGTTTCCTGATCCGATTACGTACAAGTGCAGGTCCACGTTTGATCTAAACAGCAATGTGACAACAAGGGAAAACCGCCATCGCTATAAACACTTTATTCAGCAATTTACAATTATTTCAACACTGGAAAGGGGCACTTCGGTAAAAAAAAAAATGATAAAATTTGGCTACAAATATCTATCTAAACGAGAGTAAATTGCAAACTATGAAGAATGATAGATTTACTAAGATAAAAGCATGAGGTACGAAGATAAATTGTTACAACATACTCTGCTGCAGAATATCAGTTTACTAAGAAAGCATAAAATTCGAACGCGCGAAGGGTGGTGGAGAAATACTGGTGGGTAAATATAAAAAATCATAATATGTGTTGTTTGTATCCTGCATCACAAGTAAAATATGAAGACATGATACAATACCTGCGCGTAAATATTTATATTAAGGCACATGTAATATATACTGGTGCAAGCAACTTCCTCTGACACTTTAATCAAATATGATCGATTTCAGTCACAAAAAATCTTTTATAAAATTATTAAATCTCATAACATTCATAGAAAACATCATAGCATTCATAGAACGAATTAGAAAGTACATTCAACTAAACTAGCTATGTTGCGTACAGTATTCAATTTCATATTCTTTTCGAAATATGTTTAGTACTCGACAAAATATTAATTGGAAATATATTGTGTTTATTAAATACGCAGCGTTGTTCAATGAATCTTGTATGAGTCTATTACTAACTTGTGGACACAAGTGAGTCCCTCGAGCATGCAGACTTCGGCGGCGCCCATTTTATTGAAGAGCATCTTTTCAAAAGATTTCTCGTTGCTGAGTGGACCTGTAGGCTCATAGTAGCGAGCCAATATTCGGTGACCATCCTGATCCATGATAATAATGGCCTTGATCACATTGAGTGTCGGTTCAGAGAGACCTAAATCCATTTTGAAATCTGGATTTTCCCTATTCTGCTTTGTCGTATTAAACTAATCAGGTTATAACAGTCGCCAGTTTAGAAGCCGTTCCTAGTTTTACAATGGTACAACAGACAGATGACAACAAACACAAATCCAATCGATAGTCCAAACATTAACTAACTGCTAGCTCCCTGAACTGGTTAGCAGTAAGACCTGCTCACAGTGTTGCGTTTCTGACTCGCTTTTGTTGCTTGTTTATAGCCATGTTATTTCACTAACACGTTCGAATCTTATTTGATGACTAAATGCCCACAATGAAAACGTGGACGCCCCGCGCTCTTAGCGGGCAGCTGGCTGACGCGCGTTGAATTTTTCGGGAAAATTTCACATTGCAAATTGCTCATTCAACCGTCACAAACGATGCCGCTTTGTGTCCTGTCCGGTTCCGGTACAAGGCTATTATATTGATCTGACTGTTCTACCAGACGTATGCAACCTTTAAAATGATCTTCGTTTTGAAGCTACGGGGAGCCCGCTAAATCTAGCGGCCAAATCCGTAGGGGCGCCGATCGATTGTTTGAGTCCGGCGTTGTGTGCGATGCGAGCGATTCCGCGACCCGATCGAAAGTAACTAGCGCTACGACGATCGAGTAGAAGTTGATCGTAGACGTGCCGGTACCACCCTCACTAACGTCTAGAGTGAGCGCATCCATCTACGTTGTTTATTACACGACGTTGTCCGCGTTTCTTCGCGCCGTGTGCGTTCCTGTGCTGCTGTTGCACCGCCAGCAGCGGCAGGCAGCAGAAGAATCGTATATAGCGTAGCGTTGTCCAGCAGGGCAGCCCTCCCTAACGCACCCTCCTCCTTGCTGCTACTACTTTGCCCACCTTCATTGTTGGGGCGTCCGTTCGACGAGAGTCGATCTATCTTCCTGAGTGTGTGAGTCCATTCCGTAGGCTACTCGTCATTGTCGTGGGTGTCTCGTGCAGTGAGTGCCTGTGCTTAAGTGCTATTGCGACGGCCGCCGGTGTTCGTGCTGATGCGAAGCTGTCGCGAGGCATACGACTCATCGGCGTTGTACCCTGCCTGCTCCGTGTTCGATTGTAGTGTGGTGATCTGAAGCTGTGGTGGTCGTGAATCGGGGCCGTTGAGCGTCCCACCGGCAGGCAAGAAGCTGCAGTGTGAATTATTTTTCCCCCACTCCCCCCCCCCCCGCCTATTCATCTGGTGTGCTGGTAGAGCGTGTCATTCGCGTCACTGTTGCGGCTAGTACGGCCTTTAAGTGAGTGAGTGAGCGATCAAACGAACTAGCTCCCAGCGCAAAATCCACTAATCGTCACAATTTGCTGACGCCGCTGCTGCGGCTACCGCCACGAGCCGACTCGATCCCTAGCGAGTGTCGGAAAATCCTCGAATTTCGACTTCTGTGTGCGTGCCGTATTATATCCGCTTTTCCCTCAACAACAACAGTTCGCCCCAATTTAGCCGATAAGCATCTGTCTAGCAAGTGGCGTTAGTCTTCTTGACGCGTCGTTGCTGCTGCTAACGTGATAAGGAAACAACACGGGCGGCATGTTTCGCGGGCGATATGATGGCCCCGGCGGCGGCGTTCAGCGAAAGCGTGCCGGTGGCGGAGACGACCTCGGCGGCGGGGTAGCGAAACGCTCGAAGACCGACGGCGTATGGGATCTGCGTTTTCTGATTCCGTCGCAGCGAGCCGGTGCGATTATCGGCAAGTCCGGTAAACAGATCGTCGAGCTGCGCAGCTCGTTCAATTGCAAGCTCGTAGTGCCTGACTGTGAAGGTGTACCCGAGCGATTGATGCTGGTCCGCGTCAGCCGAAATCTCCTGCCCCAGCTGCTTACATCGATACTACAGAAGCTAACGGGATCCGATGACAATGATTCGAAGACGCGCGCCGAGCTAAAGCTCCTCCTACACCAGAAGGAGGCGGTCGCTCTGATCGGCAAAGGCGGCGCACGAATCAAAGATATCCGTGAGAAGACTACGGCATCGATCAAGATTTTTGATAAAACGTGCCCACTGTCGTCGGACAAGGTAGTTCGAGTAGCTGGCACTACGGACGTGGTCACGGACGCCATCCGTACAGTATGTGAGTCGCTAGAAAACGAGGACGTGCAGATCGGTGATCATTTCACTTACGACCCGGCTAATTACGAGCCGTACACGGCGTACGAATGGGGCGGCATGGATCCGTCCGACGAGAATTTTGCCCTCTCGTCAAACCCGAAAGCACGTGCCGGGGGAATGGGCGGCGCGAGGGGTATGGTGCCGCCACCCCCACGCGACTGGGCACCGGCATGGGGTCCGCCCGAGCGGGCTCCGGCGCCCCGCTTCCCCGACTACGGTGATTATGGCGACTATCCTAGCTCGATGCCGCGCGGTGGTGACTTTGATCGCCGCGGAGGTCCGCCACACTCGCAGAACCACGGAGGCCGTGGGCCACCCCGCAACAACCCGGGCGGCCCTCGAATGCCTCCTCGTGCGGGTCCTCCCCCCAGAAGAAACTACTAACACCCATCAACCACCAACAATTCAGCTTCCTTCCTCCCCGAAAATATCTATCTGCTCACGACTAACTGAACTCGCCTGTCCTATCCCCAACAGACCGTAGGAACACCAAAAACCGGCGATCTATAATTTAGTGTCCGTATGGGGCCCTCACCTTTTGCTCTCCAACATGCTCCACCGTACTCCACCATACTCCAACGTTCTCCAATATGCTCCAACGCCCGTTCTGATGTCGCGACTGTCTGGGTTTCCCCACACCCCAAAGCCACCACCAATCTGCCTTTATGCCCCATCGAAGATACGGTAGATTCTGTGAGCGCCCTGAACTAGGCTAGACATGCGCCTACGCTTCGAACTAATAATCTCAGTTTCCAGTAAATCTCCACGGCCACTTTTGTGTTTCACGAACGTCGAGAAACACGTCGGTTCAGAAACATCTTATTGCCTAGCACAGTTGCTTACCATCCAGGGTAAATACCCTTTGCTTCAAAGTGATGATGGTTGATTTAGCCCCTGTTCAGCGTCCCCAGTCCCCAGATCAGCAAATGAGAGAAGCGATCCCGTGACGATTAAAACTCGACATCGGATACTCTTCTCCCTCCACCTAAACCTCCTGCCTAGACAAACAACTATTGCAGCCCGACTAGCTGAAAATGATCCCGTACGAAAAATAACTCCGTGAAAAAAATCTGAAGTCCGTCGAAATGGGCTTCCTTGCCGGAGAAGCTGTTGCCCTTGAACCACCACCGAAGGCCGATACCCGATAACTGTTCGGCATCCCGACTAATCGGAGACCCTATTTTCACCAACCACAACCACCTGACTCGCCTGATTCCCAAGGACGTAACATGAATTTAGAAATAGACGTGTCACAAAGGTCAACTCCCTTATATGAATACGTTCACACCTAGATGTAGTTCTACCTGTCTATATATATATATATATATGCATTTCGAAATAGTGTCTGATCGCACTGCTATATAATCCAAGGTTGCTTAATGGTATTTCGATCTAGGATCTATAATTAGTAGTAACATTTATTAACAACAGTAATAACAATATTACTGAAGAAATGTCTCTAGCAGGAGATTGAGCCAAGTGTCTTAAAGGCGTATATAAAAGTATATTCGTTACGCATATTCCTTCGTATTAGTATATGGTTCCGCTGAGCGTTCGTCCTGTAGAAGAAGGAGCAACAGGAAAGCAAAAACAAACGACAATAGCCACTTCAAGCCTCGAGTGAGTGACTTTGGAGTCGAGGGACACAGTGATCCTCATGGTCGGTGAGAATTTAAAAAATTAGTGTTTTTCTGTAGCTATCACCATTGTCTGTCCCTTAGTGTATCGCAACGTTTAGGGCGGGCGGAAACAAAAAGAGCGAGCAGACATGTGGATACAGGGCAACGGTGAAAGTACTGCAGGTCGCCAGATGTTAACAAAAAATCGATTATACGTTGGGGTAGGTTGAAGTCATTTTGAGTGGGTGATAGATGCGCGGAAAGATGTACACGATGCGTAGAGAAGGACGAATTGGGGGAGAGAGAGGGACAGGGGAATCGACTGGCTAACGTATAGACAGACAAACCGAGAGAGGCAAAATAACGCCTGAACAGTGACTGAAAAGGAAAAACGAGCAACGGATTGATTAACATGCATTGAAGCGCACGTAAACCACGACGGAACTTCCGTAGCTTTTCCCCTTTCTAAGTCAAAGCGAAGAACATATACAAAATAACAAAATACCAGTATCAAAACAAACAAATAAACAAGAAAACAATATTTAACTCAGTCAAGCATTGCGGAATAGACGCGTTAAAAAATGTTCTCACACACAGAGACACACACAGAGACACATATGCAGAACATATAAGAGAAAACCTACTTTGTATGTACAATAATAATAATATAACAACAAAAGAAACATCCACAACGGTGAAATAAAAACAACACACACGCCGCTTATTGTAAAAGACCGGAGTGAAACCAACGAAACGTGGAAAAGTAATAGTGAAAATAACCAATACAAATTTAACAAAAAAAATACAAATTTCCAAGCAATTATTATTATTATTATTATTATATATTAGCATTCTTGTAGAATGGCTTTCAATGATATACTGTCCATTACTACTAACTGTACATTTGTGACAACGACCATTCGTGTGTCGCCAGAATTGAACAGAAGGGGGAAAACCACAGTGAAAACAATTAAAATTATGAAAAAAGTAGAAAGGTGTAAGGGGGAATTGACCATACATATATACATATTCTGGGGAATATTATGTCGACAGTGATAAAATGGTGAATGATCATGATGATGGTGCCATTGGAGGCCAGCTTTATCTAATTTAGCAAAATTTAACTGGCGCAAAGCTAGTGAAGCTGTCAGTGGCGATAGAAGAAAAATCCCTGTATCCTTCTGGTAACTTACCTTCCCAGTGTGTTGTAAAAGACTCCTCTTACCTTCACCTCCTAAAGCTGCGCTCTTTCTTTGTTTAGTATTTTGTTATTACTGCTATGAATAGGAAACGTAAAAATTTCAAGATCCTTAAAGATTAGTTTACATTCCCTTCTTTCACATATTCTCTAAAGTACACCTGTTATTACATATGTAAGATACAGAAACAGCAGCACACCATAGACACAAAATATGGCACGCAGGTACTTGCTCAATTTCCCATATTGGGGTATAAAAATGTACCGAAAATTGGCTACTTGTAGGTTGATTACCCCATGTAGACACGCAGGGACTGTTTTATATCAAGTTGATATATACTTATGAGGTTATCGCTGGCGTCTGTTCTTGTCAATTCAGCTGAGGAGGCAATGTAGAGGGGCGATCTTTTAATTATTGCGACTTCTGAGTAACATAACACGTGTCGAGTTTTTTTTGGAGAGAAACCCATGTACCATACCAGAAATACACATACCATATAAATCACCCGATGGTAGAAGCAGAGTCGACAAATCGTCAACACTCAGCTGATAGCATCTGATTTGACCGATACACAGATTATAGTTAATGATGTAGTTTATTCATCTGATGACTGGTCTGGTTGAAAACAAGCGTTTGATGAGCACCTCGAGCAAAATTTCTTATATAACCACCTATATGCCCTGAACCATTATCAGATTTGAAAGAGACCTGTTTATTAATAATCCCCGTATCGATGAACGTCAAAGAGAGACCATAATTGATACAGTAAAATAGCCGAGAGACAAAGACAAATACATCTAACTAAAGTATATAAACACATACCGAGGGAGATGAAGTAAATATTCTATAAACAGACGCAAGGTAAAGGTAGTGAAGGCAAGAGGTGTGACGTGATGCTCCGTGAATGCATTCAGATTACACATTGAAACAAATAGAGCTGAGAAAGAAAACGCAAATGAAGAAAAAGGAAAAATAACAAGAACACCTGTAACAACAACGATATATTATTGATGCTATATCATATACGAACGAAACCACAATACAATTACTATTATTATTATCTCATTAGTATTATTATAATTATTACATTGTACCAATAAGGAAACACTACAACCATTATATACAATGATATCGAAACGAGAGGATGATTAAAACGGAAAAGGAAGATGGACAAGGCTAAATAAAGATGAAACGTTTCTCCCCAATTGCCATAGTTCCGTTATTGTTAATTCCCGATCACGCAATACTTCGTCTTTTGTTATTGGAATTGTTAATCCTACTACTGTATTTAGACTGGAATGAACGGTTTAATTCCAAAGCCTCCTATCCCCTAGTCCCTTTTGCAATGTAACGTTCTTCCAATAAATTACATTATATGTACGTACGTACGTTAGAATACAGCATGTATTCTAGTTGCTCGTTGTATCTCACTAGAGTTAGAATGTATTGTCATGGTATATGCTATTGCTACTTGTGTAACAATCTCCAGTGGATATGTCACCTTCTATAAATTGTGCATAGCCATTCACAATTCTGTTTGTCGCAGCTGTCTTTAATAATTAAATAGTTGCGCCATTGGTCTGTCCGTCTATTGATCGATATAATTGTTGTGCTATAACAATAATGCCGATTGTCGTTGTAAACTCAACTAAAATTCCATTACTGAACAGACACACGGTTGGACATATCTTCGAGAAGCATTCCGGTGTCGTCAATGGGAACAACTATACATACATAATAGAATATAATTACTCGTTTTTTATAAAGTCAGTATGTTCATACTGACTTCTCTGGTGCGCCGCACTTGTTTGTTTTGCACTAGTATTGATTTATGTTAGACATAAAAATGTTTATAGGGAGTATACACAGACACGCAATTGCTCATAATCGCCTCCGCTCCCCTGCTGCGCTCTGCGTTCTATTTAACCCCACTGTCCCACGCTCCCTGATATGCTCCCAGCTGATGCCGTACCCCACGGCATCTATATACAGTATAGGCGATACTGCTACATTGTTATTTCGATCTGATTCTATTATTGTTGGCCCTGTTTTTATAATTTACAGCTAACGAACGAGGGCATATTGATTTTTTATCCGTGAGAATTTTTTAATGGACGAACTGGTACGCCAGCGACAATCAATCATCTAGGTGGTCTTCGTGGTTGGTCTCCGATCTGTGACAAATAGAAAGAAGACGGAATAACGTGAATTCTTGCGCCTCATGCCCCGACGCCCCCGACGAAATCTGCTCACCCCGCACATTTGTAGTCCCACAGAGGTCCCCGTTCTAATCCTATTTCTCCCGCAGGCCGTGGTGGTTCTCCTCCCCGATCAGCTCTCAGCTCAGCTCTCCGATCTCCGATCTGTTCCGCCAAAAGCAGAAAACCAAAAGAACGACCTGAGAAGCATACGTTTGCTGTGCAACTTACTGCTAACTAAATGACTAAACTGGTAACTTTGGGTAGGTGAATTCGCACTCATTTGACTTGACTTTTTATGCGCCCCATTTTCTTTACTTATACGTCTGCCAGTACATAATATGATTAACTTGTTTAGCATATGAACCTATTTTAATAATTGTAATTAGCACTGTTTTGGGTATTCAAAGTAGGCGCGTGTCTTCTTGCCAACGGAGATGGACAATAACGCTCACGGCTGATACTCAGTACTCAGGCGCGGTTTCGTACGTATGTCTTCTTGACACAAAATTGCGATTATTCTTTAGGGGGAAAGGCTTTTACGTCTTTAAGCCTATAGCTACGAAGTTACTATTTTTTTTAAATGTTTTACCAACTTTTTTCAAAACGTTTTGTTAGTCTTATTTAATTTAAGCCAAATTTAATTGAAATGCTTTTAAAATTGCGATGTGTCGCATGCCCTTTTTTTTTAATTAAACAAATTTACGTTCCATGCTTAACAATAATGTAATGTGGCGTTTCTTTTCAAGTATAAAAATTAAGTATTCAAAACTTTAGCATCCTTTTTGCAAAAAACGTGATCTCTCTAGAACACAGTCGTTCCGCGTGTGTATGTGCATGGAAGCTCATTCGTCTAAGTGGTAACACAATTGAATTTTTGAATGAATGAAAGAATGGATATTCAATAATTTCGTTTCTGGTACTTCCTTGGTTATCCTATGGCAAAAAGGCAAAAAATAGGAGGATCCTTAAATAGAATCAACGTTGTGCAACTTTCTCATACTAGTTCTTAATGAGACTAGCAGCCTTGAAAATTGGCTTCAACTAATTTTTCAAATGTTGCATTTTTTTTATATTCCAGTTAATTATTGTGGACAAGGTACAATTATTTACAGGTTTTCTCTATCATTAAATTGATTCCTTTGTGCTCACCCTGTGAGGATATTTCGTGCGGCCTATGTCCTTGATACAGTTAACTGTATCGATTCATACTTAGCTACATACGAAGTGGCTTCCCGCGCTTTTGTCGGTTCTTTGTCTTCCAAATAATAACTGGCGTGATTACTTAAGATTGTATTATATCAAGCATATACAAAAGTACAAGATGAGTTCTGAAGTCGAAACTACCTAAACAATTTATACGTCTGCAGTGCGGTTCTATGACTAGTTTTTATTGCAAAGCCTAGCTTTTCTTAGATCTGCGAGGAATCGCTCTTCGATTTTCGAAATACAGCGAAAAATAGTCATGTAAAGATTTTGTCTCTACATAGTCCAAAAGAATAACCTAACATCCAAAATATCATCAAGTTATTGTACATTATAGACAGTGTTGAGGAGAGTATTTCACAACGATCCTAATATTGTGCTAGGTTTAGAAGGGAGTTAGACGTTAACTAAATGCTAGCACATTGCAAGCCGTGCTAATGGCCTTTGCTCGTTTTCGGTAGGTTCGCCTCATGTCTACCCTTTTTCTTCCGCAATTCATTTGTTTTTACATAAAAAACAAGCCATGTATTGCAGGCTTACAGAATAGATAAAAGTTGAAATATGTGTCGATTTTTCCAGTTCTTTGTCTCGATATTGCCGACAATTAGATGTGCGAACATGAAAAGCTCTTTAACTTTGGTGTTTGACGTTTAGTGACTTGCATTCGAGCGGCTTTCACTCGAGTGGGGCAGTTATTAGCCCACTTATTAGCCCTGCATCACCGCAGGTTCCTGTCCATAAATTCCTTACAGAAGCGAAGCTGGCTTCCAATAGCAGTTCGAACGTCGGTATATACCTGATTCCTAATCAGTTCTCAAACGAAATATTGTGCTTAAAAGCCGTAAGGTATTTCTTGTATAATATTATGGAACGTACTTAATTCTATCTGTAATTCTATGACCAATCCAGAATCTAGAAGGCGGTTGGCTGCTGTTCCACAGGCCGCTGGGGTTTGAGAATTAAGTGCTTTTTTAAATTTTCTAAGAAGGACCAATGTCGATAACTACTAGAAAATCGCCAGTGTATTTTCCATAGACATAATCGCTATTGTTTTATTAAGTGTCTTTATTATTTCAGCGGGTATTATTAAATGCTAAGAATTACAAGTAGGTTACTATTGATAAAAGAAAGTTACCCAGCCTAAAGCAAAATGTGTTTTTGCAGTTTTACGAATCTAAATATAAGCAAAAATAGATGTTTCTGATTAACCTTTTTTTATTATTGATTACTATAAATGCACTGCAGAGGAACTTACGCTTTGAAAATGTGCAATTCTTGCGTTGTTTGAAATTAAACCATTTTGATCTACTCTTATTAGCAACAAACCGCAAAAACTGTATATATATATATATATATATATATATATATATATATATAGCCTTCTGTGGACCCATATGTATTTTCTAATAGAAATATTTGCAGAAAATACGAAGTTGTTACTTCATGTTGAACAAATGAATGTAATTAGAAGGTGAAATCAATGCGCCTTTCAATCCACCTTTTCGACTAATGCAATTCTTGATATAGACCTGTTTAATGCCGCGCAAGCGTGTGCGAATCACCTCTAGAGTCTCTGGATAGGACGCAAGCCGAATGTTCGACATAGCTGCCCATCTCATTCGGAGCATTTCTCCAACGACAGACAATACCAGCGCCCGTAGACTGTCCATTCTCTCCCATTTATTCTGATACTATCCTAAGAATGTGTATTGTTAGGCTTACTTTCGATACCGCCTACCTGACCCGTATCCAGGTATACTGCCCCAGTATATGTTAGCTGAAATAACGCTATGTGTATCTCAAATTCGTGTATATGTATCTATAGTATACATGGATGGACTAGACAGTTTCTTCTCAGCACCTTCATCCACATGTAGATATGATTAGGAATTTCGTATGAAAAACGGTGACTCACATTGCAATATATACTAGTAGACGACGAGGATAATATACTTGTTTACTTCGGTGTATTTCTACGAGCCTAACATATTATTTATACATATCGTTTCTTTATTTAATCAAACTGGTTGTATAACATAAGTTGTTGGCGGGGTTTCTGGCTTCGATTATATTAGTAAAACTAAAGAAAGGATTACACGTGATTATGCTTAAAGGTCATTAAATGTTTGTACATTACAAATCCTTATTGAGTTTGCCAAAGCAATCTCTACAACACTTCTACTTTATTACTAACTATTGCATTTTCTCCCTGTAAGTATTAAATATCGGTTGATGTGGGTTATTTTTTTGGCGGAAATTATTGGCAGAGCCTTGTGGATCCCGTGTTTTGTTTAAGAGAGTGGGCCAAATTGGTATTGATTTTTGTAAGACGCATACAAGTAACAGCAGATTGTCCCAACGTTTCACAAGTCAGTGAATAAACAATCACGACTGCCATGCCGTCTCTTTTTGAATAGGAAGTGATACCCACGTAAGCCTAATGGAGACGTTTTCAACACAAACCAATTGCTACATATATATATATATCGGATTTTGATCAATAGAATTTGCCTTATATAATGGAGATCACAACTGGGTTCGACTTTTCTATTGCAAGCATATGCGATTCTAGTGCATTGTAGTATCAAATCTAAAAAAAACCGTCTTTGAACGAATTAGTGAGTTATGTAAGGTCACTTGTTAAATTGAAGCACCGGAATCTGATTCGTTTAAATTATAGTTCAGATGTCATACGAATAAAAAAAATTGATTTCGCTCCGATATGCGAAGTCGAATGGAACAGAAAGAAAATGTTGAACCTACATTTATTTTATGAATAGATTTTTAAAAATAAATTATATATATTTGCCGTATACTTACCGTATAGAGTATATTTACCGAATGTCTCGAAACTGACTACGACGAAGTGAAATCTGATTCCGCAAGTTATGAATGAACTTTATAGAAATAGAAGGGCCGAACGCCTTCCAAAAAAGATAGCTCAGCAAGGAGCAGGATCCGCACTACAAGCAATCTATCCCGCATGTTCTTGACTGAGCAAATAAGGGTATCCGCAGAGAGAAAAAGCAGTATTTGAACTGAAAGCATTTCAATCAGATAGACACGGGATTCTAGAGTGGGCTACTTAGAAGCACAGGGATGTATTTAATCAACTGGTTTACTGTTTCCTGGTGTGACAAAAAGAAGGTAACTTAACTAGATCATTAATGAGCATTAGGACAAACCGTGGCTCTTCTCTTAATTTTAAAAATTCTTCTAAGAGTTCTACGGCCCGCCATTGTGTCAGGTTTAAAGGATCTACGGTATACGCATAAGAGAGAAACATTATTTAGTCACAGTCACACGGTTCTATCATAGCTGGCGATTTTTATAGTGATAATTAGACATTACAAAAAGATTTGAAATTAGATCAGTAATTACGACAAGTGTTGCACTTTAGCTAGCCTCTGCAATTGAAATATTCCGCCCGCTCACTCTTACACATATTGTCAAATGGATGAACTCGCGGATCTTTCTTGCTGTCATGCAGTGGTCATATAATTACGACCACCAACTTCAATGAATCAACAAGTCATGAGTTTTGCCTATATTTTCACTCGAAAATACTACGTCATGTCAAATCTTGTCGAAGGGCGTGGGCAGAACTGCTCAGTAGTTCAATACGGTGTGTGGCATATTCAGGGTCTACCTATATCGATTCTGCCGCAGCAATGTCTGCCGTTGCAAGGACCCCTTAAACCGTGGTCATTCTCCAAGAAAAGATAACTGGCTTTGTCCAGGGGCATAGCTTGCTTCGGTTAGTACACTCGAGTATTTGGGTAAATGCGGACATTTGTGTTTTGCGAATGCGCGCGGTGGGCGGTACTTCCGTTGGTAACCGAAAGCAAATTGAGCAACCTAACATCTCAAAGTAGTCGGGTTTGCAAACAAAGCTTTAACAAACGGGGCCGGTCAACTTCATTGCTATATTATGCTATACGTCACTGCTCATGCTCGACCACGAGATAAGTGTATTTTTGTGAAAATGATTCAGAACAAGCAGAACAAGAAAATGTTATTATACAGCGATTACGGAACATTGTACTACCCGTGCGTAGGAGCAGAAGTGAAATTTCTAACACCATATACATATATACGAACGGAGTCTGACTGGCGCACACATTGTCCTACGTTGTGGTGTGTATGGCATTAAAACAACAAACTCTGGCAGAGATCCTTCATTTGTCCCCGCTCTCGACATCGCTGGCGAATAAAACATAATTATCATGTAGCTGGATCCCGGACGCTGGCTGCCGCGATAGTACAATTGTCAGTAGCTTTATGCTCATACATAACTCATGGGGAAGTGTCGTATAACCCGTAAAAAAAAATTCTGCTTTGCACATGTTATTGGGGGGTGTGTTCAGTTGACATTCAATATTCAATATAACACAAGTTA